AGGAGCACACTATTTGTAATCCATAGGAAAAGATGGACATATTGGGATGACACTGCAAACACTCCACTAAAACTCATCTCTGATTCTGTTTATTAGTGTGTGACTATTTGTTTCATATGACTTTTTACCTACACTAAGAAGCTGACAGGCCAAAGAAAGGAGTCCACAGTAGTTACTGTGAATGAAAGAGCTGCGGGGGATGGGTCTGCGAGAAACGGGAAATGGAGGTGAGTTGAGAGGAGTGGACGGAACGGACACTGTGCTTGAGATGTACTGTTTGAGAGAAAAATCAATTTCCAATAAAATATTTATTAATTAAAAATAAAATAAATAAAAGCTCACAAGGGCCCCCTACCCCCTATAAAGTAAATTCCTATACAGGACCTGTGTCTGCAAAAGCTGATTGACTGATTGCAACATCAGGAATGTGGAAGGTTAAGAATGCTGTGAGTTCAGTCCCTAATTATAATTTATCTTTGGCTATTTTTTAACTTCTTAAATAGCCATTCATTGCTTATCATTCTACCAGAACCTTTGAGTAACAGTGAAAAAACTTGGAATTTATGAACAGATCTTAGTGTCCACCAGTCAAACCAGTTATGAATGTTGTCAGACAGCATTTAAGTCTTACAGAGACCTGCTTACCCACCTGCATGATATACTCATCAGCATATTTGAATACTGTCTTCACATACGGCTTTTTGGTTCTGTTAATGTAGGAACTTCATGAAACTTATTCACGTTGAAATGAAGAACTTGGGGTGACTAAAGTTTGTGTGTTTTGATATGTTGGTTAGAAAAATAATGCCTGCCATATGTAGCACAAATAATGAAAACATAGAGCAGATATTGGGGTTCAAGCTGAAGATCAGAAGGGCACAGCAGCCAAGTTGCTAGATAGTTCTCACCTCTACCAAGTCTAAGACCAAATAGGGGCAATCGTGTGACTGCAGACTGCAATGCTCTCCACCAAGCCTCAGACTTCACTGAGCTACTGCATTATATTCCCCTCTAGTGGTGGTATTAAAGACATGTCACCCCAAGTGCTAGGATCAAATGTGTGAGCTCTGTTTCTTTTTTAGGCTGATTCACTCTTGTGTAGCCCAAGGTGGTCTTGAACTCACAGAGACCCATCTGCCTCTGTCTCCAGAGTGCTGAGATTAAAGGAGTGGCCACCAATGTCTCTCTTCTATGGATAATTAGTGAATAAGGTGTGTGTCTAACTAGTGGCTTTGTGTGTGTGTGTGTGTGTGTGTGTGTGTGTGTGTGTGTGTGTGTGTGTGTGTCTAACTAGTGGCTCTCTGTACTCTGATCTTCAAGCAAGCTTTATTTGTTAGACAACAAACAAAATATCACTACATTTCTCCTTTTTGTCTAAAATTATAAAAGAAGACTATAACTCATATGAGAAAACTACAATAAGTATAGCATATATGTGTGTATATATAATATATGCAGGTAGTAAGTATATCAACATTGTCTAGTCCATTTGCAATTGACAAATTCAGAGAAAATACTCTATTGTCTATCCTCTCTTGGTGAGTCCAAAGTCTTGTACCTAATTTACTAGAGGCAGGAAGGGTGAAAAACAAAGAAACAGCTGGCTGGCTGTGCAGTCACCAAGGATCCTCTGCAACACTGGGGCATCTATCTTTGGCTTATAGGCCTAGCATATCTGACAGACTTTTCTGTGAAGCAGGGTTTGTGAAGGACTCTCCTGCTTGGTCTTGGCAAGGTTTGGCAGTCACAATCTTTCAAATC